CCTAAGCTGTCATTTCTTAAAGTTTGGCGTTGTGATGCTGATGTGAAAAAGTTTCAGCCTAATAAGCTCAAACCCAAATCGTAGAAGTGCGTCTTCATAGGATACCCAAAAGAAACTATTGGGTACACCTTCTATCACAAATCCGAAGGCAAGATCTTTGTGGCTAAGAGTGGATCCTTTCTAGAGAAGGAGTTTCTCTCGAGAGAAGTGAGTGAGAGGAAAGTAGAACTTGATGAGGTAATTGTACCTTCTCCCGAATTGGAAAGTGGTTCATCACAGAAATCAGTTCCAGTGATGCCTACACCAATTAGTGAGGAAGTTAATGATGATCATAAAACTTTAGATCAAGTTACTACCAAACCTCATAGGTCAAACAGAGTACGTTCCGCACGAGAGTGGTATGGTAATCCTGTTCTGGAAGTTATGTTACTAGACCATGACGAACCTACGAACTATGAGGAAGTGATGATGAGCCTAGATTCCGTGAAATGGCTTAAGGCCATGGAATCTGAGATGGGATCCATGTATGAGAACAAAGTATGGACTTTGATTGACTTGCCCGATGATTGGCGAGCCATTCGGAATAAATGGATCTTCAAGAGGAAGACAGACGCTGATAGTAGTGTTACTATCTACAAAGCTCGAAAGGGATTGACAACCCCTTTAACACGTCGGGTTGCGAGGGGCTGTTTACGTTGTGTTGCTTGGTTCTCCTACTAGTTCGATAACATTGGTTTCGTATCTGAGGGAAATACCTACCGCCGTTGTGCTGCATCATCCCTTCCTCTTTGGGGAAATACCAACGTAGCTTCAAGAGACATCAAACCCCCTCCCCTATGTTAGGTCGGTTGTTAGGCCATTAGGAAAGGTGTAGGATCAATTTCGCCATTGCTCAACGCACCCTCGGTGTCGACTAGGTTATAATGAATGCACGGATGAAGCTGGTAGTTTAGGTAGAAGCATTGATAGCTGTGATTCAGGCGTGGCTCATATTGATACACAAGAGAGTCGTTTGTCGTGGTGATAAGCTTGTCATCCATTATGGCCTAGTGTTAATCTGGGGCTAGGAGAGGATGGTTAATCTAAACTACATCTACAACTGCAACTACACAGAGGCTTTGTGGATGTTTTGAATGAAAAGATCACCTTTGGCTGGACTTGTGCAGACCTTCAGGAGCAGGAGGATGCTACAAGATAGCATCCACACTAGTGTGGAAGAGCAAGTAGCCATGTTCCTCCATGTTATTGGTCATAACCAGAGGTTCAGGGTTATGCAAACACATTCAGAAGATCAATGGATACCATTTCCACGTACTTCAGGCAAGTGTTGTATACTGTTGGGGAACTCAGAGGAGAGATGATCAGGTCACCAACCCGCCGGATTCCTATCAAGATTCGCACTAGCCCAAGATGGTATCCATACTTCAAGGTGAGCACTGACAATATGTAGTTTATGCCTTGATATGCTTGTATTGTTCTGCTATAGCCATAACACCATCTTATAATGCCATTTTAGGGTTGCATTGGGGCAATAGATGGTACTCATGTCACTGCCAGAGTGCCGATGTCACAACCTGCAACATACAGGGGTAGAAAGCTCTACACAAGCCAGAATGTGCTTAATGTTGTTGACTTTGATCTGAAGTTTACATATGTGCTGGCTGGTTGGGAAGGATCAACACATGATGCTAACATTCTTAGTGATAGCATGATCCATCCTGATGGCATCAATATCCCCGATGGCAAGTACTACCTACGAGATGCTGGTTATGAATGCCGTCTAGGTGTTCTTCCACCCTTCAGGAAAATCAGGTACCATCTGAACGAGTTCACTAGTAGGAACTATTCTAAGACTCCACAGGAACTATTTAATCTCAAACACTCCAGCCTTAGAGTTACTGTTGGGAGGGCATTTGGAACTCTAAAGAACAGGTTTAAGATCCTGAATCATAAGTCATCCACACTTTCCAGGTCCATGTGAAGCTTATTCTTACTTGTTGCATTATGCATAACTCGATCCTGCAATGGGGTTGTGATGAACTGGTACCAGAGGAGGAATATGTGACGCCTAACGATGTTGTTAGCTCCGGTCATGGTGTGGACGCATTTGACAATGACCTGGAAGAACAAAAGGATGGAATGGGCACAGGGAATGTGGGATAACAGAGGTCAAACAAGGATCTGAAGAAGAAAAAGAGCAAGAGCATCAACAGAAGAGAAGAAGCAACAACACATGAGGAGAAGAACCTCAACATGACATTGCGAGTTTCAAGGGCATTGAGAGGAAACACAACATCGGGCGGGTCCTCGGGATCCGACATCGGAAAGGGACGACTTCGTTCACCAGGAAAAGGACCGCAGTAGGGCCGACGGGATGATCCTCCTCCTTCACGCAGATGAGTGACTCGATATCCCCGCGGTCGCCAGATCCGCTACCATCACGGGAGGAGGGTCCAACGGCTATCGCGACTAGTGCACTGCACCGGGAGTTTGCCCCAGTGCAGAGCGTCTGGGGCTGGAGATTCCGCTCCACCACCAAGTTGATCCAATAGGATGCGTTATTATGCAGTGACATTGTCCGAGTGTGAAGGAGATGGAAAAGGAGGAGGTAGCGGGTAGAGAGGGTGGCGTTTAGGGCTTTGGTGATGGGGACGCCTCGCCGTCGGGCTTTTATAGTAGGGGATGAAGCCGCATGGCCATCCAAACGAACGCCTTGAAAATCAGGGGGAGTTGTGGAGGCCATTAATGGGAGGGTAGTTTCGTCCTGCACTCACCATTGCTCGCCAGTGATTATTTGTGCACGATGGTGTGCGTATGTGCGTCACGCAGTTTCAAAATCCAGTCATGGCGCAAGGAGAAAGAAAGTGAAACTTCCTGGCAGTTAGGCATGGAGCAAGTATAATGACCAACCTGACAAGGTTGGTCATGTGCTTACCATGCTAGCCCCTGAATCGATCCGCCAGCATACGCGATACTGATGTAATACCAAATAAAAATGCATCACTGTATTACATCAAAATGATCCAGAATAACATAGTCTAATACAAATCTAGCTCAAGGCTAGTTCAAATAAAGTATCATTACAACCGAAAACACAAATAACTTGCCAGAGCTCCATCTACGCCACATGCAAACCTTCTCGAGTAAAGACACATAACCCTACATAAACATCACTCCTCATCGTAGACACCTGCAACATGATATGTTGTAGCCACTAGAGCCAATACATTGAAGATATAGTTCTTATGAGGCTAATTTTTTAAAAAATAATACATTTTTCACATTAAATTTCAGAAATATTACGTCGTAATTATATTTTTTGAAAATATTACCCAGTCGGCCTACTGCTGACCGATTGGATCCAGTCGGCCTACTGCTGGCCAATTGGGCCCCAGTCGGCCCACTGCCGGCCGATTGGATCCAGTCGGCCCACTGCTGGCCGATTGGCCCCAGTCAGCCTACTGCTGGCCGATTGGCACCCAGTCTGCTTCGTCTAGGCTGACAGGTGCATTGCACCCATTTATCTGTTGAATACGTATTTGAAAAATGTTGAAGACGTATTTGAAAAAATGTTTATCATGCATGTAAAAATGTTGATCAAGCATTTGCAAAAAAATGCTGAACAAGCATTTGAAAAAATGTTGAGTTTCAACATCTTTTTCAAATGCTTGTTCAGCATTTTTTGCAAATGCTCGATTAACATTTTTATATACATAATCAACATTTCCTAAAATACTTCTTCAACATTTTTCAAATACCTATTCAGCAATTTTTAAATATTTGTTCAACATTTTTCAAATACTTGTTTAATATTTTTTTCAAATGCTTGATTAACATTTTTACATGCATGATAAACATTTTTTTAAATACTTCTTCAACAGTTTTCAAATACGTATTCAACAGATAAATGGGTGCAATGCACCTATCGGCCTAGAGGAAGCAGACTGGGTGCCAATCGGCCAGCAGTGGGCTGACTGGGGCCAATCGGCCAGCAGTAGGCCGACTGGGTAATATTTAAAAAAGCATATAATTACAGCCTAATATTTCTGAAATTCAATATAAAAAATGTATTATTTTAAAAAATTAGCTCTTATGAGAGTAAAATTATCCCTAGCTTTCTCAATGACATCAACCACAAAAATGTTGTGATAAAAAACTTAACATATAAAGTATAGGATAAGCCACTTTCAAAGGTTCGTCACCTACCTACTAATCTTCCGAGAACCTGTTATTTTTACCATCTCCAAGAATTTTCTTAGTGTTGGTAAAATAAGTCTTTAACTTTCAATAAACTAGGCAAAAATGAGAATCCTCTTTCCAAGAGATGTGAGTGGATAACAATTTTTTAAGGAAATGCAGTGCAAGAAATTTCTTAAGAAAATTTCCTATAGAATGCAATCATATAAATCGAACAGTATATATATGATAAAACCATGAGAAATTCCAATCCTCTAAATTAAGTTCATCATATGCATGCTATCACGACTCACGAGTGATGGGAGCGCACCGATCGAGCGGCCAGGATTTCGTCACGCCCGGAAACAAAAGAACTGATTGAATTCTCGATACTATGCCCATGCAGAAACAATACATACAATAATACTATCCCGTTTTTAAATATTTGTTTTTTTAGAGATTTTAAATGGACTATCATATACAGATGTATATAAATATATTTTAAAGTGTAGATTTTCTCATTTTGCTTCGTAAGTAGTCACTTGTTAAAATTTCTATAGAGACAAATATTTAGAAACAGAGCAAGTACATATGTAGACACGCAGCAAGTTAAATACATACTCCACACAACGTTGTAAGCAGCAACACACGCACACCCATGAAAAAAAAAAAGCAACACACGCACACCGACCGAACGTACGTACGTATATATAACGAGCCGTATATACGCACAAATTCCCGGCTCTTATTGGACGCACGCTCGCGCGTATACGTGTGCTAGCTAGCTAGCTGAATCGCGGATCGATTAGCAGCAGCTGGCTAGCTTAGCCGAAGAAGTGGTGCTTCTTCTTCCCCTCGCCGCGGCCGGATTCCTCGTCCTCGCCGTCCTCCGCCGACTCCTTGTACTCCTTCTTCTCGTGGTGCTCGTGGAACGCGTACCCGCCGCTGCCCACAGCCGCCACCGCGGCCACCTCCTCCTCGATCTTGTGACGGTGCGCGTTCTCCGGGTCCTTCTTCACCTGGTGCTTCTCGTACTACACACATCCATATATACATGGCCCGTTAATTCGCACCATCATTGAATCATCATCGGTGGAAACGTGCGTTCGAGAGCCTAAAATCTTTGCGCGAGGAAATATCGTTCGGGAGGTACGTACCATGGCGAAGGCGCCGGAGGCGAGGGTGCCTATCTCGCCGAGGTGCTCCTTGTGCTTGTGCTCCTTCTCCTCCTTCCTGTACTTCTCGGTCTCGTCCCTGGACGACCCGTGCTCCGTGTCGTCGCCGCCGGACTTCTTGTACCCGCCGCCGCTGTACTCGTCGTCGGCACCCGACTTCTTGTACCCGCCACCGCTGTACTCGTCGTCGCCACCCGACTTCTTGTACCCGCCACCGCTGTACTCGTCGTCGTCTCCGCCGGACTTCTTGTACCCGCCGGCGCTGCGGTCGTAGTCGTCACTGCCGGGCTTGTTGCGGCCGTAGTCCTCGTTGCTCGACTGCTTGTTGTAACCGGTGTCGTAGTCGTCGCCTCCGGACTTCTTGTACCCGGCGCCGCTGTACTCGTCGTCGCCGGTGGACTTGTTGTAGCCGCCGCGGCCGCTGCTGCGCTCGTGCTCGTAGTCGTCGGCGCCGGACTTGTTGTAGCCACCTTCGCGGCGGTTGTAGCCCTCGTTGCTGGTCTTGTTGTCGTAGTCGTCGCCGGCACCGGACCTGCCGTAGCCGCTGCGGCCGTACTCGTCAGCCATCTCGGTCGAGTGTGGGACTACGGGAGAGAAACAAACTTGTCACGGGCTCACGGCTCACTAGTGTAAAGCTCACTGCTTTGTACTAAGAGCACCGCAACGTGGAGTATTTATAGAGGGAGCACAAGGTATCCGTGTCTAGAGGACACGGGCAGGACGATCAGTTTGGCAAGCAGATCGTGGTTCCTTTGCAGCCTACGTGCTGCTGAAATCAAACAAATTCAAAGTTTTTCATATTTCTTTTTGGTCATATTTAAGCAAACAAACCCTTATAAAAACATCCATACAAAATTTGAAAGATACAAATTTTAGGGGTACCAAAGTCTTCTTCCTCGAGCATCCATCAAGGACGCATCCGTAAGCAAGTCGCCTCTGACCTTCGTCTGAGCGGAGCAAACTTGTTGAAACTCATGAGCTTGTAGAGTGAAATGTGTCATTAGTCCAGAAATTCAAAGTGATTGCACACTTTAGGCCAAATACTCGTAAACTGGTCAATTTAGTATGTAATCTCATATACCGAAATGGCTTTCGTCCTGCTTTATATAGTATAAAGCAAACCGCCACAAGCATACATCAAGCCTAACAAGGTAGCAACACACACGAGACCAAAGTACAAACAAGAAGTACACAAATAAAGGTTCTATTGAAGGCACCAGCTCAACAAGCCCTAGGAATAAAAGAAAGAAAGATGGCACATGCCACACAAACGCATGGAGCCAAAAGAG